GTTTGTTATGGTAACCTTATTATTTACTTGTTTTTGGTTCTCTACATATGTTCCTAGGATTCAAGTTACCATCCAGTGTCATTTCCTTAGCCCAACATAGCTTTGCTCAATCCATCTTCTTGGTGCTGTTATTGGCAAATATATTACATCTGTCTATATTCCGACCCAACAATACAGTTATATACATACTATTTTATACAGTTGTGTTTTACATCAGTTAAGAAATAAGAAGAAACATTCATTTATACTATCTTTTAGAACTAAAATGAATTATTTAATTTATCTAAGTTTAAAATAAATGTTATGGACTGAATATTTGTGTGTCCCCTTGCCCCTCAATTTGCATGTTGAAGCCCTAAAGCCCAGTGTGATGGTTTTGGAAGGTGAGGCCTTTGGGAGTTATAGATTTAGATGAAGCCATGAGGGTGGAGCTCCCATGAGGTTAGTGGTCTCAAAAGAAAAGGAAACACCAGAGCTGCTTCTCTCTGCTGCACACAAAGAAAAGGTGTTGTGAGCACACAGAGGGTGACTGCCTACAAGCCAAGGCAAGAGGTCTCAGAAAGTAACCTACCCTGCCAACCCCTTGATTTTGGACTTCCCAGGCTCCAGAACTGTCAGAAAAACCTATTTACATTGTTTAAATCACCCTGTGTATGGTATTTTGCTATGATAGTCTGCAATAAGACATTAAATTAATAATTAAATTCAAGCAGCGGTAGTTTTTGAAGCTATTTCTAAGATTTGTTCTGACCTCCAGAGGGCCTGTCTTAGCTCTTTCTTTCATTGACTCCCTGGTGAACTGGCTGGACTATGGTTCTACTTGTTGCTCTTACTTATAGGACTTTCGTTTTTGAGATTGCCCTTAATTTAATAAGTGTTAATTTATTTAAGATATACAAATCAAATGGGAAATTTTTTTAAAAATCCACTGTAACTATATGCTGATGATGTTACTATATATAGAAAACCCTAAAAGGTCCACACAAAAATTACTAGAGCTGATTG